TATTTCAGGTGAATCAACAGAAAAAAAACAAAAAAAACAAAAAAAAAAACACTACTAAAGAAGAGTTTTACAAGTTACTAAATGATTTTCACATTGCCTTCGTTTCTTCACATATTTATGTAGATACTCACGTTCCGATGTTTATAGTTATGTTTTGTTTGTTTGCTTGAATACACACCACCTGCAAACATACGGTTTACATGTACATTTTGCCATTAAATTGACATGCCGAGAATACAAATGAATGGGGTTCCAACCAACAACAAAATATAACATTAAAATCATGCGAGACAAAATAGATATGAAAGCAAATATATATATACACACACACACACACAAATATATATATATATATATATACAAACTACACGTTACGAACAGACCGACCATACACATTATGAATCGGTTTTGTTTTGTTCGTATGGAATTTCTTTCTGCGCCTCTGACTTTTAACGTCTATCTACGTCCCTTAGTCGTCTACATTAAAAGTATAAAAAAGAAAAAACAAAAAAAAAAACAAACGAGTCATAATAAAAAAAAAAAAAAAAAAAAAGCAAAAAAAAAAAAACTATCAAGCGCATTAACTCACTTCAGCATTCCAAAGTAGCTTTCAGAAATGACCGTTTTCAAGTGAGGGCGCTGTCAGCAGCTAAAAAGACAAATAAACAAAACTGTAAAGATGGTGTTAGCAAGAGCTGGAAAGTGTTAGCGCGAAGACAGCGGGGACTTAAATGAATACAACAATATCTTACAGATACAACAATCAGGTCGTTTACTTATTCGCCTACTTCTCTTACTTAGATAAAATATTCTCTTTTAATAACTCTCTCTCTCTCTCTCTCTCTCTCTCTCTCTCTGTCTGTCTCTGTCCATCTATCTCTCGCTCTCTCCTATCGCTTGCTCTCTCGCTCTCACTTTTGCTCACTTCGTTTCAATGAAGCAATTCTTCTCGGCTGATTTCTTAAGATACGTAAAAAAGAATTCCTTAATACAACAACAACAACAACAGCACACTCACTTCATGCTGAGAATTAGCGAGCGACACTGAAATACTTAACCAGAAATTGTATCTAAAAGATTGTTTTTCTTTTCTGTGTTATGTCTTGCATTATATACGATTTCGATTGCTTTGCGAAAAAGGCAAAAAAAAAAGAAAGAAAGAAACAGCGAAATAAACAACAGCGACAAAATCAAAAAAAAAAAATAAAAAAATAAAAAAATAAATAAATAAATAAATAAATATAAAACACTATGTAAAGCAATATGTAAATAAATTTGGAATTTTTCTTATTTGCTCTCTAATCTCTTATGTCAATATCTCTTCTCATATATCTAATCGAGCCGAGCGAACACCATGATCTGGGCCTTCATATACACATATATACATACGTTAGCGTAAATTAATTAATAACAATAAATAATTTAAATTATCTGACATTTATATGGCCCCGCATTCTTTAGATAAATTCTGATTGATTTTTGTGAGTATTTGTAAAATTATGTTAAAATATCATGTAAAAAAAAACCCCATATATTTTTTTCCAAGTTTTCTCAATAGATTTTTGATTCAATTGCCATAAATAAAACACTGACAGCAATTAAAAAAGTAATTTTTGAATGAGTTTTCCATTTTACCTAAGACAAGTCTTTTCGTGAAATTCAATACGAAAATAAGTCTAATCTTTATTGACATTATTCGTAATATTTTGAATGCCTGTCCATAGATGATTTGTCGACGGCAAAACATTTACTTGTGTTTTACGTAGAGTAGAAAGAGGAAGTGTTCCAACTATAAACACTATCGCCAAAGCAATTCTAGCGAAAATTTTCAGTCATAATAATTTCAAGCATAATAAGCAAAAGGTAAAAATCGTCCTCCTCCGGCATATATCGGAAATTAAGGTCAAGTATACGCATGCATACTGTAGGGCAGTAATAAACGCATTAAACGCATTCTCTGCTATTCCGCTTCAACAACGATTTAAGGAATTTTATTCCAAGTAAATATATTTAGAGTCTGAATGTTTTGAAAAGTGACAGTTGACTGATCGGCATTATTTTTATACCCGATGTTATGAATAGTTTTATAAATTGCCTATAAATATCTGTCATATGTTAAAGAGATATTCGACACTTTCGTTTTCTTTATGTTTTGTTCATTTCTCAAGCAATTCTGGCCACGTTTGCATGTGAGTATCTTTTTGATTTGTGAAGTATGGATCCAAGTTGCGAAAATATGCGAAATATTTTCACTTTCTATTTCTGAGAAGTTTAAAAAATCGATAACAAACAGTCAGATATATGTATGTATGTGTGTGAATTTTTTATCGTTTTTCATTTGCATAATTTAGATCAAAATTATTAAACGAATTGTTAGTTCACTGTTGCGCTTCGACCGACTCCTTCCCTCACGAAAATTGCCTTGTAAATGTTATGCTGATTTTGAACTCTTTTTTTTTTTCTTTTTTGTGTGATTTGTCTTGTACTGGAATCAATTTATCTAAAGCATGAAGGTTATGCAATTGATTCAAGCGAGAAACGTTCCATATATATAATTAATAAATTTGCCAAAGTTAGTTTTCCTTCCGCAAGATATTATTTGTTAAACAAATTATCTACAACTAATTTTTACTGTTAAGTATGTCTTTCGATGAGGTTCGCAATGTTTGTTAATGATAATATGAAAGATAATAATCGACCTACCGTTCTTATCTTAAGGAACGCTAAAGGTAAGAACGAAAAAATACAGTTCCGATACTCAATAATATTAGATGGGTGTGGTTATTTTTGTTTTCAAATTTTGTAAGAAACACGTAGCAATTTTGATCGTCTATCTGCGGTAGTTTATGAGCAATAAACAAAGAACCCAGAAAGTAAAAGGGTTCAGGAACACCGGTGCGGGCGGTGGGAACACCTTTCTATGGCAATTTGTGTGCAAAAATTTTCAGTGCTTTTGCCAGATTTGAACGCGATTTCTTAATTTTTGTGACTAAAGGGAAAGTTGCCCACAGTTAACTACTTAGGTGCCTGGACGGACGAATATATAGATAGACAAATAGAGGGACAGGGCTAGATAAATTCTGAATTTAACTTGCAGTCTCTAAAGCTTTCTTCTGGGCGTTGCAAACGTTTCGCCAAAGTGACTACATCCGCAGCCTTTGGTGGTGCATGTAAGAAGAACTTTAAAAACTTTTACTTATTATTATTATTAGCTTAGCTAGAGAAATTCCAAGGCGAGAGTCTTAAAGCATTAGCATTTTAGACTATGGGCTTTAAGGAAAACTATGCCGTACTTGAGATTTGAATCCACATTCATTGAGTTGTCAGTCGAAATCCTTTGCCTATTTGGCGACTTAAACGGATAATGAGATAATTCCCACTGATATCGCAAATTGTGCTGCAATTAATCAAAACTACTTCGTACTGCTTTCTTCTAAAGTTTCCTCTTCTTTATTTGGTAAAAGGCGAAAGATTTATTCGACAACTGAAGAGAAGCCAGTGTCATGGCAACGTGTGCGCTGACTTCGGCACCGTATGTTGCAAGGATTATTAACCTCGGGGAGTTCGAGTGTTTCACACTCCGTGTGCCATCGGGCACCGT